TTGGGGCAGGGGGTAACATGAATCCCTCTAAGTTTGTGAGGCACCTATGCTTGCGGGGGTTCCCTCTCTATAGCCTTTTTCACACCTATGCTTGCGGGGGTCCCCTCTCTATAGCCTTTTTCACACCTATGCTTGCGGGGGTCCCCTCTCTATAGCCTTAGGAGTAGTGGAAGGTAGGTAGTGAACGGCAAAAAGAATTTCAGAGAAGAATATAATAGTGTTAGTTGAAAACAAAAGGAGGGTGAAACATTTCTCGCCGCAAGACTACGGCTTTTAATAGGGCACTGCTGTTATGGGCTCATTGGAAACAAGGGGGTGTAGTTGCACATCTTTTGGGGTCCGCGGAAAATTGTGACAGTTCTATCTGATCTGCTTCAGGAATACCGGTGGTTCAACGGCCAGGGCATCTGGCCAAAGTTTGAACCAGCGACGTTCCAGGATCATGACCACTTCTCTCGGTCGGTTTACATGTTAACCATTTCCGATTTTCACGATACCAGACCACTACCGGGGCCAATTCAGTGCACTGGAAATGTGATATTGCGGCTGTATTCCGTACAAACCGTGGTAATCAGACGTGGGCATCGACTCTTTTTTTTTTTTTTTTTTTTTTTTTTGGTGTGTGTGTGTGACAGCGGGGCTTAGCCCTTTATTTCATTTGTGTCTGCGATTGAGACTCCGGTCCGCATTTCAACAGTCGGTTCAAGGCAATGGTCTGACACCTGGCTACTTTCCGTCCCTGATGGAAAATCCTGAGGGCTGAGGCTGTGCACCCTGACCAAACGAAACCAACTGCCATTTTGGTTTCGTCGCATGTACCGTGTGAGGAGGCCCAAGGGCTAATGTCGCACTCCGCCGTCCTCTCATTGCCTCTCAGGCCTAATTGGACTTGTTACTTATACGCACCGACGCATTCATTATTGGATACTCGGCGGAGGTTTCAGCACACACACACACACACACACACAAACAATCAATCAATTTTATGTTTGTCTGTTTTCCAGTTGTTGTCTGTCCTCCCCCTGATCTTTTTCTAAGTATTTTTGCTTACCCAAACTGAGCACCCTTAAGTAGTGCCAAACAGTCGGTGGTTCCTCGTTTGGAGTGCCTACTGCACTCTTATGGGGGCCGCTCAGTTCGGGATGTCTGTGTTGCCTGTAGGTGATGACGGATGCTCGTCGGAGTGACTCCCTGGCTCAGTGGGCGGTGGGAACCAACAGTCTGCGGGGTTCAATCGTGATGTGAGTAGGTCATGCGCTGCTTTGCTCCGTGTTGGATGTGTGGACTGCCTCGTCTGCGCTCCACCGCTGCCTTGCTGCCTGTCCTGCTGGCTTCGCATGTGGCTCTCTGCATATTGTTGTGTTCACTGTGTGGTGTGGCCGTGTTGTTGGTGTTGCCTTGCGCTTCGCTACTCCGCTGCCTTGCTGCTCATCCGCTGGCCATGCCTTCTGTGTTTCCGCGCTGCGTGCCATGTCTTCCCTTGCAGTCGTTTTTGGCGTTGTGCAGCCATGTTGCCTCTACTGTGCTGCCTGGTGCTCCAGAGGGTCGCCGCCCGCTGCTATGTTCCGCTTGGGGACAGTCTGCCTTCAACAATGGTCAAAGGGTTCATGACCCAAAGCATCTAATACGGGGATTCCCGCAGATCGTCGAGGGTTCAGCCTCCTGGTGAGTCAGTGCAACTCCGACGAAACAATCTATCATCAGCTTTTATTTTTTTCGGTTGTTGTTTTTTATCTTGTTGTTGTTTGACTTGCGATCGTTCCCTTGCTACCTTATGCTGTTTGCCTGCCCATCTGCCTACCCTATGCCTTTCACTAGGTGTGCGTTGTTGCCTTGAGCTGTTTGCCAACCCATGCCATCCAGCTGAGTATGTGCCTTGCTGCCTTGCACTGTTTTGTTTGCCCATCCACCTTCACCATGCCCTCTAGCCTATGTCTGTAATGCACTGTCTTTCGTGCTTCAATGTCTTGTGCTGTTTGCTTGCCCACCCACCTCCCCCATGCCCTCCAGCCTGTGTCCTTTATTGTTTGTACTGTTCAGCTGTCAGCGTTCAGTCCACTATGGGGTTATGTGAGAATTGTCTTCAAGTTGTCTAGTGCATGGGTCTCTCCTTGGGAGTCGTCGGGCGGAGTACACTTCTTGTGTACTGAAGCTACATCATACATACACAGTATTACACACACACACACACAGACAGCCCATGCCCGTATTTGTCCTCATATCTTCGATGACAGTCAAAATTGTACTCATGTATGAAATCCTCACATGGCATGCCCTGTTTGTAGGTACTGCTGGAATGGCAGCGCCTATACAACTGCGGTCAACGTGCCTCTTTGTTCCTCGCATGTCGGAGCCACATTGCCTGTGACATTTGTCTTCCTGTGCCACTTGGGTGCAGTGACTGCAACTGTCAGACTTGGGTGGGTGATTCCACAGGTCACACACCCGAACACGTGGGGACTTACCGTACGCAAAGCCTGATCCTCAACTCTTTTTTTTTTTCTTTTTTTTTTTTTCTTTCTTTCTGCTCTGCAACCCGACCCTGACTTTGGCCTCTTGCGCCGCTCTTTAGCAGTCTGCTCTGCTGGTCAGTATCGAGGACGCAAGGAGGTGGTGGTTCTTTCCCCTGCTCTTCTCCTCCAGCCGCTCTCCTCCTTCTACTCCCCTCCTCTTCCCTCCCCTCCTCCTTCCTCCTCTTGTCTAGCTCTCTCTCTCTCTCTCGCTCGCTCGCTCGCTCTCTCTCTCTCTCAACTTTCATCTTGGCAGCTGTAGCACATCATGGAAGTGAGTGGTGAGGGTGTAGCAGTCGGAGCAGCAGCAGAGGCAGACTTAGGGGGAGCAGGAGGAGGAGGCAGCGGCAGCAGCAGAGACAGACTGACGGGGAGCAGGAGGAGGTGGCTGCAGCAGCAGCAGCAGAGGCAGATTCGAGTTGTTGTACCAGCCAAAACTCATTTGCATATGATTATAACATCTGCTGATGTACTTCACAGCTGGGCAGTAATACCTTCCTTAGGAGTCAAATATGATGCTGTACCTGGTCATTAAATCAGACTTCCATCTTTATCAATCAAAGAGGAAGAGGAGGAAGAGGAGGAAGAGGAGGAGGTGGATGAGCAGGAGGGCACGGAGAAAGATGTCAATGGCAATGATGAAGAACCAGATGAAGAACAGGGAGAAGATGAAAAGTGGAAGAATGATATAAAAGTTATAAATAAAACAAAAAAAAGAGTGGAAGAAGAAGTAACTGACTGCATGATCTCCATTTCATGCATTTGTCGGTGGGACTGATGGCAAGTCAGGAATTCGACAGAAAAAAGAAGTACCGAGACAGCAAATCGCACAGTCGCATTAACTGCAAGTCATGAAACTGAGATCTGAATTGGAATCGTTCCTTAGAGACAAACTCCAATTAACTCCGTGAGGTGGTTACATGGACGTAGATGATACATTCAGGACCGCTCTCTTTCCATGTCCCTTGGGATGCTAACCGMCAAACCTCAAATTGACGGCCCAGTGGCCTCTCCATCAGTCCCTAAGTGTGGTCAGTACTCATAACGTTCGGGTAGCGAAGCTTACACTTGTTCAATAGTTCGTCGTGGCTTTCTTCCCTGTACCTTTCCGCTCGAATTCAGAGAGTTGCCAGCTCTCTTTTAAAGGTGCAGGAGTCTACTGAGCATCGCAGCATAGGCAAGGCCAGCAAAACAAAGAAACAAAAGAAAAGGACGTAGACAGAAAATGGTGCAATTTCCCCTCTCCACACCCTCTCCACACCCTCTCCACACCCTCTCCACACCCTCTCCACACCCTCCCTTCCCCCTCCCTTCCCCCTCCCCCCCCCCTCCTCCATCCCCCTCCGTTCCCCTCCTCCCCTCTCCAGCCCCCTCCAGCACCCTCCAGCCCCCCATTTGAAACCATATTTGAGAACATACACAGAACAAAATGAGATACCAGGGCCATTAAACACCCTCTGGTTCTGCCTCAGCACATAGTCTCATTCGTCTGGTTTGAACACTGGTCAGCCTCGGTCCGTGGCCCCAGCTACTATTCTTGCATTTGCAACCAAAGATTCGCACAAATGCCCCTAAGCGACAAACCTCCGGATTTAAACCACCAGTACCATGCCCAGTTCCTGATGCCGAGCCTAAATTTGCCCCTGCGCGCCATAAAAAAACGAACCGATGTGGGCCTCATTTTGGCTGCTGCCGCCAGGCATCTCGGTCCGGTACGCAAACGCCCGAAAAATGTGGCCGTACACGAGCCGCATATTTGTTTTTCAAGCGGGGAAAGGTACCAGCGGCTTAAGAGAGAACAGATGTCTGGATTTCAGCCAGTTGCCAAATCACTCACATTCATTCACTCATTTACGGAGTTACGGAGTTGATCTGTTGAATTCGAAGGAATTAATTATTTTAAAATTTTTGCCATTTTTAAATGATTTTTGGGCTAAGTGCGTTGGAGTCCCACCCAACGTTCAGAATAGGCAACTTTTTTTTATCAGTCCCCGGAATGAAATGGAGCAAAAAAAGGCGATCCCGCCTAAATCGGCCAAGCACCTCCCCTAAACTTGCTTGCACATTATGGAACTCACATCATGACATCCGCGCCACTTTTGTCTTTTGTTGCCTATTTCAAACCAAAAGTGTGCCACACTGCCACAGCCAAAGTTTCCCCTTACTTTTTTTTTTGAATTACTGGAATTACATAAGTTATCAACGTGTGCGAGTGAACTTCACACGAGCGATTCGGTTTGCTAACTTTGCTTATTATTGCAGCATGCAGCTGCACTACAGTTGCAAACTGGACTGGATTCAAAATCTCCGCTCAGAAAAAAGATGAAAAAAATATTTTATCAGGATATGGATAAGGTGTGAATGTGCTGCCCGGACATCGGATGGGGGGTTGTGAATCATCAGCAAATGGGATTGAGTTGGCATCAACAAAAAAAAAAAAAGGAAAAAAAAAGAAAGGATAGCATTAGCAATTTAGCAACCATTCTATGAAATGAAATGGGTCATTGATTTACGGAGAAGATTGCAATAATGCTCATTGACTTGAAAAGTGTGCGGAATCGAGGAGGAGTGTGCGGAATCGTGCAGAATCGCCGCTGATACCATTGTGCCTTAGGGCTTACTCAGACTAGCACTACCTTAAGTGTAGCTGACCTGCATGTACGGCCGGACCTGGATGCATCTAACCGCAAGTACATCCAAAAACAGGTAAAAAGGTCCTAGTGTGAGTACGCCCTTTAGGCTCTCCGTCCGGCCTCGCAGATGATCTTCGCCTCCAAGCTCTGCCTTACACGCATGAGTCTCCCGTAACTTTCGTGCATCTCTTGTCCGCCGGCCGTTGCCGCAAGTTGGAGTCCGATTGCACTATCAGGCGCAGCATGCTTTATGAGCACAGAGAAGGGCAAGAAGTTGTTGGCGCCTTGCTCGGGGGCTTTTCCGTCCGCCTCCTCTTCTGCCGCCGACACAAAGGGCAGCACCTCTTGCTCCTTGCATAACCAACCATGCGCCGCACGCAGAGCAGCTCCTAAGGATGCCGAATCTGATTTCGCCACAAAGTTGTAGAAGTCATGTTGCAGTGATCACAGAGAGAAGAAAGAACAACCAACAACGCTCAGAATAACAATAGTACAGCCGCAACAATGTGACCGGAGAGGGATCTAGGGGGACGTCTATAGGTAGAGGGGTGGACGGTGGCTGTACATCAATTGATAATAGGCCAGAACCTCTAGGTTGCAATTGCAATTACAGCGGTACATTTAATGAACAAGACAACCAAGTCACACACAAAAAAAAGGCAGAACAATGAGTAAAAATAGCTTTGGGGGGGACAGGGATGGGTCCACCTATGGGGGGGCCTTGTAGAAGAACGTCTACACCTAGCGCTCGAAGTTCCTTTACGGCAGGGCTTGTCCGACTATGCTTCAATCGGGGCTAAGCTGGGTGGGTCCTGCTTATTAGCCCTGGTGCCTACAACCGCTGTCCGGTCAGGTCACCCCCATCGAGATGATGGGAGGGTGATAATCCTGAGTCGTGAACACTGAGGTAGGATTGTGGGAGTGGAAGGAATAAGGACCTATACAGACCATCTAGATAACCAAATGGTGCCAAGGAGAAAATAACAGGAGTGGAAGGATGGGAGGGAGTCTTGTAAGGAATAAGGACCTATACAGACCATCTTAAAAGGGCCTTTACCCGATTCAGACCCTGTTTGAGAAATGCAGCATAGAGGGGTCACTCGCCCAGAACCCCAACTCGTGAAAAGCAGATCAACAGGCATGTTCTCTGGGTCAAAAGTCACATCCTAACTAAAGTAAAAGTCAATGCTAAAGGTCACAGTTGTGCCCCTGGACGAACAGTTGTAATATTCAGATATGGGAGTCACATCTGTTCATCCAGGGGGTGTGCAGGTTATGTCTGTTCAAACAGGAGATGTGTCTGTTCGTGCAGTAAGTGTGTCTGTTAGAGCAGTAGATGTGTCTGTTCGTACACTAAGTGTGTCTGTTCGAGCAGTAGATGTGTCTGTTCGTGCAATAGGTGTGCTTGTTCAAAAGAAGTCCAAAGGATAAAATCCCAGTCAAGATTCAAGTCAAAGGGAGAGTCTAAATTCAGGCATTGAGTCCAAAATTCAGGCCAGATGGCTGCAGCAGCAGCAGACCCTGAAGGGAAAGTACTGGGACACACACCATGCAGAGGTCTGGGACTGAAGGAGGCCCAAAGTGCCAATGCAGACCTCGCAATGGGAGGCCAGCAGTATAAAGAAGCAGGCCAGCCTCCCTTGAAGACAGATCCCCAGTGGCATTCTGGCGTGGAAGTGCTGAAGGCACTTGTGCGCTGGCTGGATGGGTGAGCGCTGGCAGGTGCAATAACCCATGCCATATGTCGTCTGAGGGCCGAACGCGGCAACCCTCAGTCCAGGCCACATAAGGGGGCAAAGGCCCTAAGTCTGCTACAGAGCCTGGATGCCAGGCAGTTGACCGTAGTCAACTGCCGGATTTCCAAAGGTCAAAGTCAATGTGTACCCAGCCCAGGCCACCGGTCAAGCACACACACTTGTTTGTATGCAGGTACCCGGACAGGATCCAAGCCAAGTGGAAAACTGCAACTGTACACGATCCAGACCTTCGACGGCGGGTCAATCTGGACGACTGTGACTCGTGGACTGGAGGCCAGACCTCCGAGTCAAACACTACATAAGCTGGGGTCTACGGGGAATCGACATTCAGTCTTGCTATGCTGATTCAACGCTGGCTTGACTTTGACTTGACGCTGGCACTATGCTAGCGCGACGCTGGCTGGACGCTGGCTGTGCATCAGAGCTGCGGACGACGACACGAGGGAGAGGCGACGCTGGCATTGTGCGCCAGGCATGCTGACGTGGCGCTGCCTCTGGTTTATGTGGCGCTGCCTATGGTCTACGTGGCATGCTGACGTGGCGCTGCCTCTGGTTTATGTGGCGCTGCGTATGGTCTACGTGGCATGCTGACGTGGCG